TAGATACGAGCTTTTTCATTAGCTTTAACCCATCTATCATAAGCATCCCGAACCGTTCGGTTTGTATTAGGGACAGGGGCTCGAGGATGCCCCTCCGTTAAAACGAACCTCAGATCGTCAATTACTAGTATTGTGTTTAAATTCGACTTCCATATTCCGTAATTGTCTCCGTTAAGTTTATCGGAAGCTAGGAGTTGTAAAATTGATGTAGATATTGCTGAAAAGTGAACAAAACTATTAGTGAATTGTATAACTCTTAATTATTTCAACCAATTTTATTTAGCAAGAAATAATGTACCCATTCATTATTACTTTTGCAATGATACTTCAGTGAGTCAGAATAGCCCCCACCGAAGGGAAGTCGACTACTCCTTCACTTAATTAAGACATTCTTCACTAAATACAAACTCTGGAATAACTCTTATCCCTATAATACTTAGTTATCGTTAATTTGGTCAAGAACTTACTAACACTTAGCAAGTCTTGTAAGTGTAGACCCACCATTTTCGAATTACAGAGATCGGAATCAAACAAGCCCTCGAAGGGGAGACAATTGTTGAAAACGAACCTATGTAACCCAATCCATTTCAGGAGTTCACGGTGTTCCGAATCCTATGTTACAACCCTCCGAACGGATAGGTGCTTATAAACACCAAGCAGGTGCAACATAAGAATATCACGATGTGATCTAATGGAAGAGACCGTAGGACGTGTTGACACACACCCTTCGCCCACTTACTATGAACTACTTCCCCTATTCACCTTTTATTGACCCATGCAAATACTTTCCGAAGGGAGGTTGCCCAAATAGCAACTCGAAGCCGAGCATGAATCTCACGGTGTGAACTCTTAGGGATGTGAGATCTAGAAATAATGTATCTAATACACTATTAATCTCCCATTAAAGTGTTCTATTGTAAAAATTGGGTAATTACTAGGCTATATACCGGCTAATTATATACAACCTAAACGTAGGTGATTTTCTCGAGTATAACTCTTATACTGGTTATTGATTCAGACGCCGGTTTGATCTCCAGGTAGGAGGTGTTCTGTAAGCCGTCAACTTATGTATCCCCAACCTTAGACAAGATCTCATCGGGTGAGTAAACAACTTTTGTTTTACAAGTTATCGCTCTATTTTAACTATTAAACGGAACGAATTGCTCTGCACCGGTTAACCCTAGCTAAGCATGCAAGTTTATCTTTTTTATAAATTTTAAAAGTCTAAGTGATTTTATAACACTTATCACATCCTTCTAAAGAGATGAGAGAGCCTCGACGTAGTGGCAGAGTTGTGAGACAGCCTGACTGCTATATGGGTTTAATTGAAACCGAAGTCACCATACCTGATGATGGATTAGAGGATCCATGAACCTATAAAAGGGCAATGTATGATGTTGATCGAGATCAGTGGATCAAAGCCATTGGCCTCAAAATGGAGTCTATGTACTTCAATTCAATCTGGGAGCTTGTAGACAAACCAGATGAGGTAAGACCTATCGGTTGCAAATGGATATATAAGTGTAAAAGAGACCATTCGGGAAAGGTACAAACCTATAAAGCCCGATTAGTAGCAAAGGGTTACACCCAGGTGGAGGGGATAGATTATGAAGAAACCTTTTCACTAGTTGCTATGATTAAATCTATTAGGATACTTTTATCCATTGCCACTTTTTATGATTATGAAATTTGGAAAATGGATGTCAAAACTGCTTTTCTGAATGGTAATCTTAACGAAAGTATCTATATGGTCCAACCAGAAGGGTTCGTGGAACAGGGTCATGAGCAAAAAGTTTGCAAACTTAAAAAATCCATTTATGGGTTAAAACAAGCATCTAGAACCTGGAACATGAGATTTCACGCTGTGGTCAAATCTTACGGTTTTGACAAAATATTGATGAACCTTGTGTTTACGAAAGGATCATCAACTCCATGGTAGCATTTCTTGTTCTGTATGTAGATGACATCCTACTTATTGGGAATAATATAGGATATTTAACTGACATAAAAAATTGGGTAGCAATCCAATTTCAAAGGAAAGATCTTGGAGAGGCACGACATGTTCTAGGTATCCAAATAATTCGGAACCGAAAGAATAGAACGCTAGCTATGTCTCAAACATCTTATATAGACAAAGTGTTGTCTAAGTATAAGATGCAGGATTCCAAGAGAGGTTTTCTACCTTTCAGATATGGAATACATCTGTCGAAGGAACAATGTCCTAAGACACCTCAAGAAATTGAGGATATGAGATGTGTTCCCTATGCATCAGCAGTCGGGGGTTTGATGTATGCAATGCTATGTACCCGACCAGACATATGCTTTGCAGTAGGGATAGTCAGTAAGTATCAGTCCAATCCCAGTTATGCACATTGGACTACCATTAAGAATATCCTTAAGTATCTTAGGAGAACAAGGAACTATGTCGTGTATGGAAATAAGGATCTGATCCTTACTGGATACACTAACTTCGATCTTCAGACTGATATAGACTCAAGGAGATCTACTTCGAGATCAGTGTTCACTCTTAATGAAGGAGCAGTAGTATAGAGAAGTATAAAGCAGAGTTGCATGCCGACTCCACAATTGGGTATGAAATGCCCTAGTTTATTGTATTTACATTTCTCTCACTTAACTCAACCATGTTGCAAACCCATTACGAGTTTTAGTCCAAGTGGGAGTTTGTTGGGTATTTTGTCCTAGAACTAGTAGTTTGTAAACAGTTAACATTAATGTGAGCTTATTCAGACAAGTGTTGTTAAATGAAAGTGAATTTGTTTTTTAATAACTCTAAATCCAATAAACTACAAACTCTTGACTATTATAATGAGTACTTGAACTTTATGTAGAGACATAAACTGGATCAAGTTCAAGCAAATAGCCCGAATAGTCTATGGTACATGGATCAAGTTGGGTACTTTTCATGGAGACACTATTGAATACGGACCACTTTATGATTGTTATAAATGTTGTAAGGTGTCATAAACGAAGTGATCCTGATTCGTTCATGTAGAAACATGTGAGCGGGGGTGTTCAACACAATGAGATTGTGTAAGACTAACCCTGAAATAATCACTGTTACGTATTAACACCATTTACGAATAACACTGATTAATTTCGTTTATCGATTACCTAGATAACTTGATCTAAATTCTGAGCCGTCTATGAACTTCTATTTATTCAGGATTCTCCCTTAATCTGCATAGGTGAGAGTAAGTTCATCAGCGCTGCTCAATATGCCTCCCATTTTAGGGATAAGACTAGGTAGATAGCTGGGGACATTGAATTAGCAAGACAGAATTCACTCTTACCCGATTTAGGGATAGTAGAGAGGTTGTTCCCTTAAGGGCTGATCCCGGGTCTTGAACAAGGGGCCCCATCCTCTCACTGGCCCAAGAGGAATTAGATTTAGTGATTTGTTCATAAATCAATTATTCATTAGAGGGATAGTGGTACTTAAGGAGAAAAGATGTAACTTAAGGGTAAAACGGTTTTTTGACCTAGCTGAGGTTACGAACGGTCTGTGAAGGATCAACTTACCGATGATGGTTATATCGAAAGGACACAAATATATCTACAGTGAGGGGAGTGCATCTACAGGCTATAGTGGACAATCATGTTAGTTAATGAATGTTGATTAACTACGTTAAATGGTTTGATCGGTTAGTCTCGAATCGTTGGACCCCATGATCTGTAGGTCCATCAAGTCTCCATGCTAGCTCATAAAGGATAAAATTGATGAACTAGATGAAGCAAGAATTTGAAGTGTTCAAATTCGGTTTTTTAGGGAATATTGTATTTTATATGACATATAAGTTATAATTGAGAATTAATTATTATGGAGAGTATGAATTATTTAAATTAGTTTTAAATAAGTTTAAAGCATGAAAAAGAGTTTTAATTTGATTAATGTGATTAATCAAGCTTAGGTGTGAAAGACCAATTAATATGAGATATTAATTTGGCTTGGTTTTTGTTTTAATAGAAAATTGATATTTCAATTTTTGTTTTTATAAAAATTAGTTTTATAAAAGTTTTATTT